GCAGACGGTGCTCACAATGCCAGATATCAATTCGTTCCATGGTCCAACTGATTTCACATTCTTTCTGATTCATATAAGTATACAAGGTATGATAATAATTATTGAGTAATATCTGAGTGTAAGTTGACAACTGAATTAAAAATATTGACGAAGTCACATTTTTTGAAGCAAATAAAAGTTATTTATAAGGCCTCGAAAAAAAACATGCACAAAAATTTGGGGTAGTTTGTACCCTACCTCCCTCTAAGTAACCCTGCTTATACGGGTGAATAACTCTTACCATCTTCAGGCACTCACCTTCAAGGGGGGCTGTAGCTTCCTTATGAAGCATTTTTCGACCCAAGTTGACAGTAACATGTTTTTTATTTCTGATCGAAAAATCAGCTTTTAGAGTATGGCAGGCTAATTTCGGATATATGATTTGAAAATTGGCAACGTTATGCATAAGATGTATAGGTACCAATATTTTGAAATCGATTTCACTCGAAAATGATACATGCGATCGATATAACAGATGCTCTTATTTCTGAAAATGGTGTGGATTTTGTGGATTTCTATATTCCGAGATAAAATTGTCGAAAAATAGGCAAACAAAAAAGTTTGAGCAATATATTTAATGTATTCCAACCCTGTATCAAACACTCATGAGTGGAATTTTGGAATGATAGATAGTTTACTTCTTGTACCGGATTGCATCATTTCATCACATGGCGTTTCGGAAATATTCAGGAAATATCATCTTCGGGAGCCATATTTTTGTTTTATGTTTGGAACTTTCCTTAGTAGGTACCGGGTGACCAGTTATATTCTGACCCATTTCAAATGCTCATATCTCTGAAACCATTCAAGTTATCGTTGTGAGGTTTGGACTAGTCTATATTGATGTTTTTCAAGTTTTTTTTGACGTGTTCATCTTCTCACTTGAACTTCCGGTTCTACCGGAAACAAACAAGCAATAATCCAGGTATATGGCAACTTTTTTATTTCATTGAATTACCCTGTATATTTCTGCACATTCAGAAAGACTGGTATTCTCTCTATCTATAGCAATGTATTACAAGTTATGTTGTCCTAGAAAACTATTAGAGTTATAACTCTTTGAAACAACTACTGCTTGTGGAATGGTTTAATGAGATTATGCTATGTTATCAAAGTTGCCCTATACCTGAATGATGGCTTTTTTGTTCCCGGTAGAACCGGTGAGAAGATGGACCAGTCATAGTTTCGGAGATATGAGCAGTTGAAATGGGTCAGAATATAACTGGTCACCTGGTATGTTTGGTCGAAGAATCTGCTCCTAAAGTATGACAGGCTGATTTCGGGAAACCCTGTACATGATTTTATCCAAGAGAGCATATATTTGAGAGCTTCTTCCTCAATATTGTGCTTCAGACGTTATATCTCTCGAGTCTCGATTCAAATCAATCTGTTACAAAAGCATTTGAATCTGAACGAAAATCAGTTCGATACTTCTTGTAAAGTTTCGATTGAGTGAGTTTGGAATATAAGGAAGTGTATGAGATCTTTGGAGTTCAAAAAGGAAATTGTTATTTGTTTTATATATAGTAGTAGTGATGAAGAAACTGATTAGGTACTTGGGTAGAACAAATCTTATACGTATATACAGGGTGTTTCAGTTTTTTGTAGCAGGACTTCAACAGCTTGAAGAAGACAATTTTTCAAGATGAAAATCTCATACAAACATATATGCGTGGGAGCTTCGTTTCCGATTCACAGGGTGTCAAAGTTTCAGATTTTTTTTTTGTTTTTTGAATTTTCTCCTACAATTTTCGGAATAATTGATTGAAATTTGGTACACCTGATACACTTCAAAAATTCAATATTTCAGGCTATTGAGCATTTTTGAATACCTACAGGGTGATAGACTTTCAGGGGTCGTACCCAATTTCACCCTGAAGAACTTTTTTGCGTGCCGTCTCTTATTTCAATGGGACATAGATTCAGATTGTCCCTTCAATTTGGAAACTTTTTGCCACCATGTAAATTTTTCGAAAACTGTATCGATCTCGAGATAAATGCCAAAAATAAATCACTTGTAATAGAACCGTTATTTCTCAAACATACTTATTTGACATTTCTTAAACATTTTATTGAAAAATAGAATGACCGAAAGCTTCCATACCACATGAAATTCAGTTGCAAAATCAAATTAGTTTTCTTGAACACCATTATAATTAAAACTAGAAAAAATAAAACATAAAAAAATCTGAAACTTTGACACCCTGTAAATCGTAAACGAAGCTCCCACGCATATATGTTTGTACGAGATTTTCATCTTAAAAAAATGTCTTCTTCAAGCTGTTAAAGTCCTGCTACAAAAAACTGAAACACCCTGTATATCTCTCGATATCTCCACCAAGGAAGCAAGCTGAAGCAGGGCCTACTCTATAGGTGAGATAGAGTAGGCCCTGGCTGAAGTCAATTTATTCTACCTCCCACGGAAGGTAATATTCTTTACTCCCGTGGGCGTGAATTAACAGGTTTGTGTCCTCAAATGAGGGAGCAAACGCTTATATTCCATGCAGTGAGTAGATAAAAGAGATTTTCGGTCATTTCTTCGTAATTATTTTTCGTTTGACGTACCTATGGCCTCATCAAACCTGGTATTGTCGAATTCGTATTGATAATACGTAACCGACAACCGACTATCGAATAAAATACAAAGTGAAAATTATTTCATGATATCAAAATAGAATTATTTCTAAATTATTTTCTTCATTTGGCATGGGCCACCATTATACTACGGACGTCCTAAGAGCCCGGGCCCCCAAACGTTGTTTATTTTTGCGTATTGATTGATCCACCACTGGATACTCGACTGGATAGGAAAGTAAAGGTATACAGGGTGTTTCATGAAAAGATTCACATAGCCAAACGGTTAATAGGGGAAATCAAGACGAGTGGATGTATATATAAGAAAACATTTTTTGACCCTCCATATCGAAGATACAGGGTATTGTGTGAAATTGCTATATAACTTTGATGGTCGATATTACGGAAATTATTCGTCGTAATCTGCTGAAATTTGGCAGCGACGTATCTCTACTGAAACGATTCAAGATAACATATTATAAAAAAAATATATCTAGGTCCCGACTTGGGTTTGTTTCATTGTTATGTCAAAACAGTTCACTTGTCAAAACAGTTCACTTGTGACCACTTTTTTCAAAAAATTCCATCAGATTCAGAAAGATCAGACAAAACTCTATGAGAACTGCTCTTCAATTTACACGGCACACTTTGACCGATCCGTCATGAGGGAGCTGACTCCTAAGAGTAAACCTTTGATCCAGCTCATGTCAGTGAGTTGCCCAGGGCAAAAAAGATTGATCGCCGATTGCTACCTTGTTCTATATAATTCAGCATTTTTTGTGTCGGAAAATAAAAATAAAAAACCAACTCTTAAAAATTCTCTGTGAAAGACACTATGAGGGATGAGGGGTGGGATAGGTGTAGGAGAGTGATTGGGATCTAATAGACTGATTTCACTGGCCATTGTTTCTTCACGAATATATTATTACCACCAATGAGGAAGCAAATGCTTACTTTCCATGCAGTGAGTACATAAAAGAGATTTTCGGTTATTTCTTCATAATTATTTTTCGTTTGACGTATCTCTAGCCTCATCAAACCTTGTACTGTCGAATTCGTATTGATAATACGTAACCGACAACCGACTATCGAATAAAATACAGAGTGAAACTTATTTCATGATATCAAAACAGAATGATTACTAAATTATTTCCTTTATTTGGCATGGGCCATTATTATTATACTACGGACCTCCTAAGAGCCTGGGCCCCAAAACGTTGCTTATTGATAGATCCACCACTGGATAGGAAAGTAGCTATATCTTGAAATATTTTTCTCGTTCGTATACTGGAAAACTGCATATAATTATCTATTCGCTTGCACTTGCCATTGTTTCTTTACGAATCTTTTATAACCACCATGTTTATGTAGTCGAAGCAAGTCCCTATTTAGTATTTTTTCGAGTCACTTTATACTCCTGATTGCATATCAATACGCTGTGTGGGCGATATAGACACAACAATTTCTGGTACCGCCTATATCAAGTTAGTTGTGAATGCGATAGGTATCTGGTACTGAAATGTCACGGTTGATTATAATTTCAAGTCAATGGGATCATCGCCCTTTATTTGAAGATATTTTATTCAAAGAAACTTAAGAAAGGATGTCAAGTAAACGGAGTGGGAAAGAATTTAAATGCCGTAGTAAAATACGGTTCACCTGTACAGGGTGATTGATAATGAATTGTACATAGAGCATGCCATGTACTACTGAGTCACCCTGTATATATCCCATACATCAATATATTATACATCATACTTCTCGAAGTCGTGATGAATGAGAGATCATATTATTATAGACTTTACAGCAATGGAAACCTCATATACATATAGAAACATATACGCAGCTGTAAGATGAACTCGAAGTATAGGTAGCGTATTATAGATACTTGTTTTTGTCTGTGATACAACAGTGCAAATACCGATGCATATTTTTTCGATAACTGTGTATGGATTTCCTAGTATACTATTAGAATTATGTGAATACTGATGAGAACGAACCATGAATTATTCAAAAGTATATATTTATCTTTCACTTCTAGTTATATTGCTTGTTGAAAATTTAACAACCATTTGTATAGAGAATATTCTTTGAGAATTGTATATTACTTAGGAATGATGAAAAATGTATTCGAAGAAGAATGAGTAAGCAAAATTGAATTACATAACTTTTTTATTTTCAATTGAAAAATATTGGAATGAGTACCTATAGTCTGATATGGAATATTCAAATGCGCTGAATTTTTTATGTGGGTATATCTCTCCATGATACGAGATTGAACTTTACTATTCGTATAAATTATTGGTTGCTGATGATTGTGGAATAAACGATTGTTTTTTATTCTTTATGATTTTTCAACTTCTAAATAAAAGCAAAGTGATAATTTTGTAAAAAATATATTCAATGTAAAATAATCAATAAACGAAGTGATCATATTTTTATGACTATGACCATTTCAAATTAACATCACATACAACTCTCCATTCACAGAATACAAAAAGTAGATCAGTAAACTCACACTCAAAGCAGAATGTATAGTTAGACTTATAAACATTTATGTCGTTCTTATTTTTAAAAACCATGTTATGAAAATCAGTTCTATAAATAAGAGAATGGCCATGTTGTATTACATTTCTCATTTTAAAAAATCCCAAGGAACTATTTAAATATTATCTAGCATTTTGGAAGTAACTCTGCATACCGACTTTTAGAATATGTAATCCCTTCAAAGTGAGCAGGCAAAAAATTAATTCCGAATCCCAAATTATATTTGATCCAACTTCGACTCCCTGTGATTTGATATGCAGTATATCATATCAAACCAAGAACAAATTCATTCAAATTGATAAATGCTAACTCTAAATAATTACCAACTGAACAACTCTGAAACCTTTATATGTTAGGTATTGCAAAGATCTCTGGGTATCACAAAATCTGTTGATGAAAAAGCCCCACACATGCCGAGTATCTCAATCACGAGAGACTAACCAGCTCCTCACTATTAATCAACGGCGTCTTCATAGACTTCTTCTCTTCCAAATCTTCAGCTATCCCTTGAAAAATCTCCCTAAACACCATCGGATCCAAATTCTTGGCCAAGTACACCAAAAACAGCCAATCGCTGTAGTTGCAATGTTTAGACACCATGAACCTGTTCCAGGGATTGAGCCTTCCTGGACAAGAGCTGGCGAAGACCATCTTGTTGAAGCTGGAGCTTCTAGCATGGAGGACTATGGTGGCCAGTCTCCAAAGGAGAGCTAGCGCTGAGAAAGCGAAGAGGAAGACGAACCAGAACCATAAGGCGGTGTAGATTTTGTCGTTAATGATGTTGAGTGCCATGACACACATGGCATCGTGCAGTTGGATGCTGCCTGATGGACCGTATTTGTGGAAGGTGCACTTTGTGATCTGTAAAAGAATCCTATTGATTTCAAATTGTTTTCAATTGGATCGAACGAAAGGAAATTCCTATATTATGTTCGTAGTCCAGCGTCTCTGAGTTCTTGGTAGAGATGGGTATCGGGATATATTCCGAAATCAACTGACAGTACTGAATCTGCTGATTTATCATTCCAAAATAAAAAGAAATCACTGAAAGTGACAGATACTTTTGAGCAAACATACTATACATTCCCAATATTTCAACTCAACATTCTGCTGAAATTTCTGACTATCAAAAGGTAGTATGGCTTCAGTGAACTGACGTTATTTTAGAGGGGAAAGAAATGTCAAATTTATTTTGAGTCTTGTCTTATCAATAATAAGTTGACGATATCATATTTAATATCGAATATGCCTGTTATTAAAACAATTGACGCTGAGAATTATGATCAAATTCCACCAGCTGATCAACTGCTGCTGATTACTGATGAAAAGTTGTTCCAAATTACAGCACTGTATTTTTGATTTCATGTTTCGGAACACAGATTTTCAGCAGATTCAGTGGATTCACTGACAGTACTGACCAATTGATTTGGAATATAGCCTCGGTCGGCCGATATTTTCGAAGATCGTTATTTTCACTCAAAAAATATCGATTATGGAATCGATATAATCGTTGTGAAAATATCGGCAGATCGATATTTTCTTCTCTGTATCGCACAATGTATCCTCTTCTTATTGCGATTGAGAATGAGACATGAATGGGACGGTTAACCCACAGAAATAATATAATTGTGAACATCAACAAAACCAGTCAACTGTCAGTATACTGTCACTGAACGTCCAGTTTTGTCATCTGTCATGATCAAAACAGAATAAACAGATTACGGTGAATCACACTGGAAATTACAGTTATATTCTTAAATGTGTTCCAAAATATCGCAATCTTCTGAACAATACAACAAAAACAATATACCTAGGTATCTAGAAACTGCAGATATGATGTTGAATTTTGGAGTTAGTCTAAGAATATTTAAAAAATCGTAGGTTTCCTGATAACGGTAATGTCAAATACATATTCTACGCCCAAAATTCTGTGAACACTGAGAACAGTTCACGATATAAAAAGTCATAGACAGATCGCTTTTTCCATAAGCCTCGCATTTTTATGAATTCCCTCCCGATGATGCAGAATGCTTTCTGCTTATTCCAGTTATTTATCTTCAGATCTTCACGATATTACTTATGTCCCAACTCTATTTTCCTCAACATAGCACCTCTTGATTTATTTTTTTCATCATGAAGGTATATTATTATATTAAACCACATACAAGGAAAAATATGATTCTTCACAGGCGTGAATTCATCAGTTCATTTGAATTAGAGTTGTTGTCGTAAAACAAACATTTCAGGAGAAATTGAACAGGAAACTTCAACTTTTCTCCTCCTATTTCATGAAAAAACTCTAAAACTTAGCGGAATCAACAGTCCCATGATTATATCGCTGCAGGTAACTTTTATTCATCATACAATGGAGGAATGATTCAACCCTGCATAACGTAGGTACTGTGCGTTACTAGCCTTGAAGCTCAACAATGGAGAGGCAAAAGAAGCAAAAGTCTACGTGGTGATGAATGGGCATTAACATTCCAACGTGACAAAAGATCCAAAGATCATATTTAGGTAGGTGTTTCTGAAGGATTATAGTATATATTATAAGCATCTACACTGACCATCATATATTATTATGAAAAAAATTGATGCATTGAAGTTTTTCATAATACGAAATTCAATGTTTCGTTCGTTTTACAAATGATACAACACTGTTGAATAAAAATATAGCCATTGAAAATATGTAATTCCACCAATTTCCTCATTTATTTTTTCAGTTTTTATTTGGGGTTTCCACAAATAATTTCTGTAAAGTCTGATTATATATTGATATGGATCTGAATTGACATATCAGATAATCTCTAATAAGTCCATTTTTGCTTAGAGTGGAGTGGAATGTTTCAAAGGGAAGAAGGAACGCTCAAAGTCATCCCCTCAACTTTTTTAAATAAAGTAACTTTTTCAGGGGGGCATGTTTCGGATTTGAATAACGATCCATTTTCAGCCCAGTTAGGAAAGTATTGGAGTGAAGTTAAATCTGACTATTGGTGCCAATGCCTATCGTCATCGACGACATTATGACGTTGGGCATTGGCACAAATAGTCAAATTTAACTTCACTTCATTACTTTATCAACTGGGCTAAAGATAAATTTTTATAAATCTTAAACATGTCAGATTTCCAAACCGACGTTTCGTCTTTCAGCTGCCAACTTTGTTGTTTTAAATACGGCCCTGAATTTTTATTATGGATTTTGAGAGCTTTCAATCTCCTGAAACCATTCAACAGTGTACTAGCTGCACATACTCGAAAAATTCATATCAATATGATACACCGTTGATTTCAGAAGATTGAAAGCTCTTGAAACCCATAATAAAAACTACAGGTCCGTAATTGAAAAAAAAACAAAGTTGATGATGGCAGCTTAAAGACGAAACGTCGGTTTGAAAAAATGATAACACCATCTTGTAGAACAGAGAAGTGACAATGAGGATGTGTAATTTGTTTTGTTACATCTATTCAAATGGAGTTGGAAAAAAATTAAAATGAAATCGCGAAGTTTTCATTTCAAAAATCTCCGGAAGTATTCGGAATTTTTCAAATTTCATTTGCATTTTACCAAAAGTTCAGTAGTCCTTGTTATATTTTTCGAGTTTGAATTCTTCTAGAGTACCTTGAATCATTATTATTTCAATCAGTTTATATAGTTGAGAGATATTCTCACGATTTCGAGATGCATTCAATTTCATTTTGTTCACAGAAGTGAAATTACAGAAATAATTTGAAAAAATGTAATCCCCACTCAAAATCAAAAGCAGAGCACATAATATGTCCAATTTTTCCTATCAGAGATAGATCAATCATTCGCACATACATCCAGCTTTGAGGACTTATTCTCTTCTATATAAACACATGTAAGTTGATGAATCGACTACAATATATACATATCAAATACTCAATCTGTGAACTTCAACAGCATGTACACTCCACTTAATTTGCAACATTTATTTCACTACTGAATGGGAACGAACTGCAAATTAAAGTAACATCAAATTGGGGCATTTGTATTTGAAGTAGTGAAACATACTTTATTAAACATATCTGCTGAAAAGCTCCCTCGAATAGTACACAAATAAACAGTCGAAAGTGAAGTTTTCTTTGCTTGAATCACTACCAAAAAGTCTCAATAATTCACACAAACATATGAACCATTTCAAAACGATGTATTTTCATATAGTTCCACAACCAGCCACTTTGGCGCTGGGATCTTAAATTCAGTCGCCTCGATTCAACTGACCAGTGACCATAACCATCTTGGAATTGGGGCTCGAATGTTGAGAAAATGTCGGTAATGAATACCGGTCGACTACATACATTACATATACTTACAAGGAGTTATTGCCATGGAGAGATACAACACGAAACCTATGGGAAAACGTGAACTGCATCGAGTCACTAATAAATTCTCAAGCTCGATTCATTTGTTTTCTGAACAGGTACCTATCCGAGATAGTACGGTTTTGCGCACAAAACCCATACTCCAAGCCAAGTGGTACTTTGATATACAGGATGCAAAGACAGTTTTTGTACAGAGAATTGTAAATAGTACTCTTTTTCAACGATCATTACAGGTAGGTATTTAATTAATCATGGTATATACACACATAAAAAGGGTTTTATAAATCATCCGTTGACATTGAACTGTGAGAACTGACCAAGGAACTCTCATGAGACGTGCAAGTCTAATCAAATGATGTATATAAATAGTGGATGTGAGGGTTCCGAAGTAAGTCTGGTCTAGGTCTACTGTTGACTTGACAAGCACTCGTCAATATGGTCATTATAATGTTAGTTGTTATTAGGTCTTTATATCCATTAGTATTCTTCTATATTCATCATCACTTCACCCATAATGTTTTCTGTTATAATAAATATTGTTATCTTTGAATATAGACTCGTACTTTCAGTTACCCCTAAACTATATTAGTGCCTATTCGAACATTACCTCTCGCAAACTATTTAGCCAAGCTAACCCCTTATAAATCGATATGACATGGATGGACTAACCATCTATTCTATCGTGGCAATATTTCTATGTAATTTCGAAACACCCTGTATAGAGGGTGAACAAATATATCGTCTTTAATTGAGAATCCTTTTTTCTTCCTGTCCAATAATTATTCTTACCTTGGGGAATACTTCATCTAGGACATCAACGCTAGATTCTAAACCATTTCTCCAAACATCGACACCCAAATTATTGAAATTTCCGCTTAAAAACGCATTGGTTATATAGATTTGCAGAACGACGTGAAGTAGGTTGGCTATCTCGCAAAGAATTAATTTCATGGACCAGCTTCGATTGATATAAATTCCTTGTAGGAATATATTTCGGATCTCTTGAATTTTCTGCTCCCTGGAAAAATCATAACATTAGTTCACTACTTTCTGCATGTGACACTGTAACTGACTTGTCCGACTTCGATGGTATTTTGCTGTCTTTATCAACTTGAAGCTGTTTTTCGTCTAATGAAAATGCAGCGTATCGCAAGCCGTCAACTAAATATCTCAGTCTTCCTCCTAAAATACCAAACAAAGAGTTGATGTATGTCGTACTTGTGGTGGTGAAATTCATCAATGTAAGACGTATAATGATGTACCCAATGTTTTTTTTCCCGAACTTCCGAAACTTCCAGTGAAATCAAACAGTCAAGCAACCCACATATAGAAATATAACAAATAATATAATTGCACTGATTTAAATAGGTACATTCAGTATATATACTTGCATGAACGCCAACATAGCCCAAATTTGAAACATATTACTTATACACTGGGTGACAACGGAATCATTGGCCAGGGCGTTATTAAGTTTGGATCAGAGATTTAGTGAATGGAACCCTGTAACCACTCGATAGAGTGTATAGTGTGTCAAGCATTTATCTCTTGATACTGACTTATCCTTCAATGATAATTCAAATAAAGTACCATTTTCCATTTTGAAATTTCTGAAGAAAAATCAAGAGAGAGAATGTCATTTGAAAGATCCACTAAGAGGATTAATGCCTATTGGCGATGGATCAAAATTTTCACAAACATTTATCAAAATGCTTCGTTAATTTGCTATTTCATTAGGTTGCTTGACGAAAATTCATTGACCTGTCAATTCCAACTTAAAAGACAGCATTTGCAAGAAGAAACTCGAAGTCATTATAGATAACGAGGGAAAAACAACTGTAATTCAATGTTCTGCGTGGCGCACATGGCCAGGAAAGTAGTTGTTCTTCTCCTGTTATCTACCATTTTCGTTTATTTTATGAACTATTGTGGTAATGACGTTGAGTTTCTCTCCCTTTGTGACCATTGTATTCCACTTTGAGTATTTGGCGTCTTCCTAGTTGAATTATTTCGTTTTTGTCACCCGGTATATTTGGAAGTAGCATCAGATCCATAAATCCATTAAATACCTTCCATCTTTTTCCATAATAAATGTGTCAAATAAAACATCAGTCCTTGTCCGAAAAGCACAAAAGGGACCCACTGGTAATACGCATGCCTCTTAATTGGCTCTGAGAAATCGTAAGGTCCAACACCTGGATGAGCCAAGTTACCAGAGTCCAAAAGTTTTGCATCCAAATTTTTTATCTGAAATTGGTTAATTTCATTTATCCAATTTGTATCCGTGGAAAATAACGTTAATAGCATTCATTCTCAGAGGAGTAGAAGCCAGAGTGTTTCAACTGACCATATTTCCAGAAGTTAGACATTTCATATTGTGAGGTTGGCTAGGTGTCAAATATCAATTGTACAGTCGTATTCAATAAAAAAGCGTACAAGTATTAAAAAGAGAGGATTTCGAGATCCTAGTTCTAGTTGTGTAAAACTGGCTCAGCCAATGCTTTGTGTTTTCGAGAACCTATGACAACTTTACTGTCAACATTTGGTGAACAATCATTCCCGATAGCCCTTTTTATGCAGAATAGGATGACGTTAATTTCTCTCTGTAATATACTTGTACGCTATTTTTTTGAATACGACTGTACATTAAATCGGCGCCATTGTCAATATTATTGTAAATAAGATCGAAAACTGTTGGATTGTTAATTATTGAAAATTAGAGCAAAAACAACTTCTTGGGCCCTTCCTTTCTAAAAATAATTATGTGTATAATTGAAATTAACAAAGGATAATGTATTCGACAAATGACACTCAATTTGATAGTAACTGCTGCCAATAAATAGCAAAAAATTCATATTTTTTTCCAAATATGGTCAATTAAATGCTTGTATTGATTGCATAGAATTGCATGCCAGCGTACATATATAAAGTAAGATTTGACATACATGAGGATGTTCCTCATAAACACTACGGTTTTCTTTTTCAATTTTTGATGAATGGGTATGAAGAAACACGAAATATCAGGGCTAGTTGGTATTTTCACATTTCAAAGAGTTTCAGAAAATGGTGGGCACGTTGAACTGCTGACGTGACTATTTGGATTTTCAAGTAACGCTAATTGAATAAAAACTAATATAACAATCCTGATGTAACGAATACGAATATCTGAACAATGTTTTTCGAATTTTCTGTATGAAAATAAGGCAGACATAGATAGTTTAGATAGATATAGAGATAATTATTTTGAGCTGATAGAAAATTCATGCAAGATGTGAAGAGATAGTATCGGTATTTGTGAGCAAACCTGCAAGGTTATCTTTTCCAAATCTTGTTTCGATTCATTCACGTATGGCTGAAAAGGATATAAAATCTGTTTCAAGTTCTAAAGTTATAATATGTCCATAATATATCAAATATTTTATGGAAAAACAAATTAGATAGATATTTCCCAAATATCATTGAAATTTTAGTTCTTTCCTGCTTAAAAAAAGAACAAATTGTTAAAACTGAATGGATTCAATAATACATTGGCATATTTTAAACAGTATGGCCTGTTTTTGAAACCAATTATAAAGATAGTATACGCTGGAAGCTCTATATCCTGGTATATGCATTATTTTAAGTTCGTCTATTCCATCGCTTGCTTCGATAGTAAATAAGACCCCAAAAATAATGAAATGAAAGCAATTGAATCGGTTGTTATTGAAAGGGATCAAGGGACATCTATATAGTTTTGAGAAATCTTGAAATAACCATGTATCTCCAACAATACTAATTTTTCAAATCCATAACAGGATGTTAGTTATGTATGTTCAATATCAGGAGTATTTTTCTTCAACGCAATTGTACATAGTTCATTTCAATAATACACTGAAAAATTGAACATATCACATGAGTACTGAAAAGTTGGAACTCATTTTAAGAAAGCATGAAGCAATAATCTTCTTCGAGAATAACGAATAAATCATGTAGAATTTGTGTTGGTTTTTTCTGGTATTCTATATCTGTGTATTCTATATTTTACATATATCTATACAGAATCGAAATTTCATCGGCACTATAAGCCAATGAAGAAGGTTTTATTTTGTTTGGCAGATGTAGCTTGTAGTGATGGTATATTAGTCCATTGATAAAATCAGATGCCAGGATTATATTTTTCCTGTATGATGTGATGAGTTTTATTAATAGAGAATTACATTTTATCCAGATTCTGATATATTTACGCACACAGGAACACAGTACTATAGATCACCTGTCAGCTTGCATTCAGAAGTGGAATTATGGAAAGAAACCAAGTACAACATTCAAAGTAGCTTGCATCAAGAAGTTGAATTATTAGAAGGAACCACTTACATGAACAAGGTACCTTTTGAAAATACACTGTTTCCGCTGGAAATATCTAGTATATATTCCTCATTCTTGGTTCTTTTTTAACCTAAATGATGAGCCCTGGCTTCAAGCTTGCGAAAATACAACAATCGCAAAATGGTCGATTTGTTACTTAGTCCATTTTAATAATAACCGATTAAATTGTGTTGTATCCGGAATAAAAGTGGTCACAAAAATAATCTTATATGTACTTATGGTGTTGGTCTTATAGTGCATCTTATGATCTGGTGATGTTACTATACAGGACGTTCCTAAAACGGTGTTACAGACAACGAGAGTAGACAGTACAACTGCTCGTCAGAAAAAAACAGTTTGTGTACTGTATCCTAATCTTGATGCGCTTAGTTCTTGAGATACAGGCCGTCATACTCTTCAGAATACAGTTTCATTTTTCTTCCTGATACAAAATTACACAGGAATTTGTATACTTGATTTCTCGAAATCTGTTATCATTTAATTTTTTAATGCAATTTCTCAGTTTCATATTCGAAAAATCTTCAATTCAATTCAATAACTATATATTCTATGTAGATATTCAAGAATGAATCATAATAATTATTTTCAGTAAGTTGAATGACCTGCATCTCGAAAACTGTTTTCCCAATTTGAATATTGTCATCTAGGTAATTTGAACCAACTGGTGAAAGATGGTGAAATACAAATATGTATCGATGTATTATCAAACGGTATATATACCAAGGATTTAATATTGAAGTAGGTACTTACTACAGTGAACGTAGTGGTGAAAAAACAAAAAGTGTTCATAACATGTTCAGGTACACCTTTATCTGCAATGCACCTGATGTGTTCTCCTATGTACTGCCTTGAGGTTACCAGAATAGTCCCAACCAGAAAAAATAGTACTGTTGCCTTGTAGTGCAACCTAAATGCCAAGTTGTCTATGATATACTGTTGTGGTTTTAGTTTGAAGTTTTTGGTGATCACACCAAAACTGCTCATAAGCGACATGGCGAGAGTAAGTTTTCAAAAATCTGAAAATAAAATTGTCGAGTTATTTTTCAATCATTCTTCTAACGTAAAAACTTCACATAAACGATGAGATTTCCACGAAATTCTTAGTCACACGACATGTTTCGCTAACACAGTAGCTTCGTCAGGTGAAATACTGGTACAATGAAATAAACTAACCTTGGCTTGCCTAAACTTATATATATCCTACTTTCCCAACCTGAAGGATTAGAATTACCTGTGGAAAGGTTCGATAAACCTTCATTTTTCCACAGATAGGAACGAGGCAAATTGAAAAATTCGACAAATCTCTTATTAGAGAGTTGAAGTAATCACTGTACGTAGACCTCCACGTAGACGTTAACGTACGAAAAATAACGTTTACGTATTGTCGTTAAATTGAGTTGAAGTCGCCACTTTGGTCGTCACTGTTATCATAACGTAATAATACATTTTGTTTTCGGTTTGTATTGGTCATTTTTGGTTGTGTGTTCAGATTCGAACATTTATTCCTGTCAAAATTAGAGGACTCCTTGATGCAGAACTCGTTGGTGATCTCGAATTTGATAATTTTGACTCATCGGCATATTTCGAGTATAGTTTGGTTGACGTACGTTGATATTTGAGGTATACGTGAAGGAACGTGAGGTAACGTACACCCGTAAGCCCACTAACAACGCAAACGTGAAGAATTGGAAAATGCGCATGCGTAGCTGTCAATTTCTACGTTTACGTTAACGTTCATGACAACACTTCAACTCTCTATTATTCATCTCACACAAACACACTGTTTATTGAGATCGATACCACTCCACGAAGATTGAGAACAATACGGTGATAGAATCATTCCTGAGGAAAGCGAATGAATACATACAAGTTTTGAGGAAATATTCAGAAATGAATATTCCAGTTTCTGGGATACTCCTGTTTATTTACAGAACCTACCAACTATTTCCACATTTTCAACTAAATAAAAACCCTTGAGATCACAAATTGGGACAACATTTCTCCAAAGTGTCGCTTATCAACACTTGAATTTTTGCTGATTCAAACCTAGTCACCCAAATAGAGATACTCACAAAATAGATTGCGCTTCAAGTAAAATCTATGAAAGTAGATCATAAGTCACAAACTTGTTTACGAACGGACGGAAATAATGCAGCTAAACAATTACTAATATTGCATAAGATTGCCTGATGGATATACTGGTGTTTTCTTTAATCGACCGTCAATTTCTAGATCCTATTATATACTTAATTATCAAGCAATTATTATATATTATATCATTGCGTTATTTGCTAGGTATTGATAGAATACGGAGAACTAATACAAAGGGCGAAATACTTACCTGATGGTAATCTACTGAACTTTGCACTATTGGTCATACATTAATTGGTAATCAGAATGCGATTGAATCAGAGAAATCAAACAGAATCAATTCTCTCCTGGCATATACCTATAAGGAGAATATTGAATGCCATCGAACGCATCCAGTCAAAACTGTTGATCTAATCAACACAGGACTCTGGTGACTGCATCATCATTATACACTTCGAATAATCTATATTTGATATCAAATAAACAATTCATAAAGCAGACGGAAATGGATGGCTAAAATACACCTTGAAAATTCTACTTCCTTGATATGCTTGACTAAGGATTGTAATGTGGCCACATTTTTAGCGTGCTTTGGTTAGCTGACTATTGGTCATATTTTAAATGAATACTCTTGGTCAATGTCGTATTTACTATACACTCAGTGAAGTAAAGTAATCAGCTTGGTGTGGTTCCAAACATTGTAGTGTACCAGACTAAAATAGTTAGATGACGATCATTTTGATATAGCCTCGAATTGAGTGAGAATTTTTGATATTTTATGATTCTTCAAGACAACAATTCATTCACAATTATGTATCTAATTTGTACCAACTAGGAATCCTGCGAGTAGGATCTATTTCTTCATTCACGTATATAAGTGGAGTTACAAAGCATAACCAAAAAACCTAGTTCGATAACTATGTACTTTGGCCAGATCAGTTTGGTAAGCACACCAAATTTCCACACGGCATAAACCTGGGCAGCTGGTTACTTGATCAAGTATATGATACCCGCACATTGATCAAGAGTCTTACAGCGGATTTACACAACTATTGCATATACACTGTTCCCAAGATAAGGAGAAGATATTTCCAAAAACTTTTTGGATTTCGAATTTAATTTTTTTTTTGCCGTTGATAATGCGAAGTTATGACAAAACTGAAAAAAACATCTCATGGCAACTTTCGATGCTTTTCAATTTGGCAACATCGATTTTTTTATCTAACGTTTCGTCTTTGAGTAACCATACATCAACTCCATTTGTTTCGAATACGGCTCTGATATTGTGATATCAGATTCAAATAGCCCTTTCCATTCTGATATCGACGATATACCACATATTGTTGTTTTTGTTGCGTTTCGAGCTTATTTCGGCCCTCATCAAGTAATTTTTGGAATACGGACCCGATTATTTTATAATTCTGTGAAAAAAGTTCCATTCATCAGATACGTAGAATAATCAATAATTCAATAAACAATAACAGTAAAGAAATTAACAGATGCACAGATCAAAAACTTCTTCGAACGTCAAAAAATATTAGATACGAAACTGATGAATTCACAAGAGCGATGGTCTAAAAGATTGCCATTGCTTTCTAATAAGCCTTCGTACATTCTTCTTACTGTTGAATTTGAAACACTATTCAGGGTTTCTACCGTTATACTCTGACATCCTTCAAGACATATACCCAGCAAAAGAAGTCTGGCGGGGTCACTTGGGGTGAACGAGCTGGCCAGGGCGCTTCAGAAAATAAGTTCTAGTCCCTCTTTAGTACACCATCCTGCTGGAACCAACAGTCCTGAATTTCCGCCAGTGTTAAATGGTCCAGGGCTTCCTCCATATAATTTTGAAGTGAATTCAAACAACTTTTCTACAGAATTATTATGAGAAATGTAGCATATCGATATCGATAGGGTTATTCGAATCTGATATCGAAATATCAGGGCAGTATTTGAAATAATGAAGTTGATGATGGTTACTCAAAGACGAAACATTGGATCAGAAAATCGATGATGCCAAATTGAAAAACATCAGAAGTTGCCGTGAATATATTTTTCTGTCTTGTCATAACTTTATTTTAAACGCCAGAAAAAAATAAAATTGAAAATCCAAAAATTCAGTATTTTGGAAATAACTAAAAAACGAAAAGTCATATCAGAGATGTTTGAAAGTCATTTTGTTGGTCTTTCACTCACGCAACTTTTCTCTTAACAAATCTGTAAATCTTATAGTTTCCGAGATATCCTTATCTTGGGCACAGTGTATATATTCTTAGTATTAGTATTACCAAGCCCAAGCATATGTACAAAAGCATAAGAAACGAACCCTAATGCTAATGCAGATGTGCTAATCTTCTTATATTATGTGTAATCTGCGCATGTTCCATCGAAGGAATGATAAATTTGTTGTTTCATGTTCTGAAAATTAAATCTTATAGATTTTGGTGAGTTTAATATATCATTCACAAATTTCATATGAACAGCATTTGAACGAAAAAACTATTTTCTTTGAAATTGTGCGGATTTATATATATATATATATATATCGTTTGACGAGGCGCCGAGAGTAAAGTCGAATACACGACAAACAGTTTCGAACGAGTTGTGATCACTATTTTTTTAAGACATCATTTTCCTTGCTATACTTCAGTTCATCAGCAGTGTCGACGCACAAGCAGTGGTATAGGAATGATAGCTATATACATATTGACGGATTAATCATACACAAATAAAAATTGAAATGAATATCATTGAATCTCATGTATGAATTTCTGCTCTTTACTTCGGAATTGGTGAGTAGGAAGGAGTCTCTTGTTATTGACATATTTTCATAATTTACAAGTAACGAGTGGTAACGACACATTTTTTATTAGATTGGTTTGTAAAAGGGATATAGAATGCATTTCAATGAAATGTACGCATGAATTCAAATTTATTTTTTCTATAGTGTTCAATTTGCACCGTTTACAATTATGTAAAATTAGTGTCAGTATCAGTTAATCGGTATTACAACTAGATAGTGCGTCGGTGAATAATTAACACGTATAACACTAAAAATTAACTCACGTGCAATAAATTACTGAGCAACAGGTAGCCAACACATGGGAAAAACAATAACTATCAGTCCACTTCTGGCTCACAGTCTACTATTAGACCTCGTTAAATTCGATTCCATAGGCACTTGAAAGCGAGGCGCTTCACAAATGTCATCAATTACAGGGAATTAAAATTTGTACTTTAATGGACGTTACGTATAGACCTGCGCTGTCATTGTTAATTTCTCATTGTTGTAGGCTGATAAGATAGACTTTGCTTTATAAAATGAGATAACACAAATCGAATGTATCCAGTTGCAGGATGTAGATACAATAGTGACATGGTTCGACGAATCCAATCACTCGCTCTCGCGCTTCATTTCGTTATTCTTATAGATCATTTTGTTGATTCCCTAACCATTATGGCACCTATATATCTACTTCCACTTTCACTAAGTATCGTACTATTAGTCCACTGAGCCCTATAACAAGAATAGATCAACTGCATCTTTTATCATAACGATGGTAGGTAACGTAACTTCAATTCATTCAACATGTTGTTTTTATTTAATTCTAAGCCTTCTTATAACCAGGTCCTTTGTAGCCTGAATACACTTATATTAATTTTTTCCGTCTGGTGAATACTTACATATGTTTACACAAAGTTACCACTATGGAGGCATTATCAGCCTTTCTATGCGATAAGTAACCTGCACTTCATACATGGGTAGATATACATTAGTTAGTTAGTCAGATTAGTTCTGATCTGTTAAAAGCTCAAAGTCATTTCCACGAGAAAAACAACTACACGAAATCTATGCATCGACTCGAATAAACGAATACTGATACAAGTGATTTTTTCCTGAATGCCTATTGATTTAGATTTAGCCAGGCCACCCTAGAAACCTACAGGCCGGTTTCGAGCCCTTTGACTCTCATCAGTGCAGGGCAGTCTCCAGCCAGCAGTCCTAAGACCGCCACGAGAGGCAATTCGGCTAAATAAACCGTATTAAAATTTCCAAATACTGCCGTGGCGAATCCAAATCTTCAGTGCTATCATCATTATCTGTAGCATCGAGAGAAAGATCTTTTTTTAAATTAAAATCAATGAAAACTTCTTTACGATCAACTATGGCACAAGAGAGACTCAGTAATTTGGCAATTATGTCCATAAAAATAGACATTATGAATTGTATCCTTTGAATGAGTTGATTGAAGATTTTGCCAAAAAAGCGCTTCCAAAATGTTATTTTGTTCTTTTTTCTGTTATGTACCATTGTTATTGATTTCTAGCATTCTTACTGTTTTGTTACCTATAACATTCTTTGTTAATCCTTATGTCTAAGACTTGTTATGATCTTCTAAATGTTGAGTAGTCAGGTATCATGCTATGCTGAATTAAAATCAATACACTTTTTTTCATTTGAGCATTTGGGCAATACTCATTTCACTTTTTTTGCAAACATACCTACCTACCTGAGTAATAGCGATTATTTAAATGTTGTGTGAACCCCCTTATCTGATGTATCTGCAGTAGTTATAACGAAATTGAATACAGGAATTAGCACGTATTTTGATTTTATTTAGGTAATATGTCAACCCACCCATGTACAAATGTTTACTAAAAAGGGGCAAGGGTTGTGATATTATATTTTGCACAATGTACACAGTACATGGCTTGGCGCGCCCCTGATTATAACTTAAAGTAAGTATACTTGGGACTACTCTCATTGGCAGAGAATTCCAAAGCCTCTTGCTGTTCTATAGACAAACACGCCCTGATGAAGAGTTGTTCGACATATCTTCATGTTGACGATAAAATAATATGCTCGAGTTCGTCTGGCTGATATTGCTAGTGATAGAATGACAACCGAGATTTCTGGAGATCATTTCCCGTGGGAGTATTTATAAAAAACGAAATGTAGCCGACCTTCGTACAGATTCCAATGATAACTACGAAATAGCGGAAAAGTGGAATGAAATGTTAAATAAATATAAAAAGCTCAAAGTATTTTCCACACAATGTTCATAAAATTAACAACAATGGTAGATATTGGGAGAAAAACAACTACTTTCCTGGCTAATGCCATGCAGAACATTGAATTATATCCTCCCGAAATCTATGCATCGACTCGTATAAACGAATACTGATACAAGTGATTCTTTCCTGAATGCCTATTGGTTTCAATTTAGCCAGGCCACGCTAGACACCTACAGACCGGTTTCGAGCTCTTTGACTCTCATCAGTGCAGGGCAGTCTCCAACCGACAGTCCAAAGACAGCTGACTAAGCGTAGCCTAGCCAAACAAAAATCAAGTCGGCATTAAATTTCCTCAGAGGCGTCATCCATTAGACAATATAAGAGAAACGCCATCTGAGTGGAAAAGAAGGAAAGAAGCATCACCCCAAAACAAAAATTCCTATTCAATTCAACTACGAAATAGCCACAATGATCAAAGTGAAATGAAATGTTAAGTAAATAAATGACTTTGAGCTTTTTGTATTTATTTATTCCAATGATGTCTAGTAATTAGTTAGTGTGACTGAACCCCATGTGTAGGAAAAGTATTCGAAAACAGGCAGTATCTGTGTTGTTCAGGTGAGAAGTAGCTTTTCGCTCGGAATGAAAATCCGAGTTTTTGCGTGAAGCAGCTCAAGCGAAAGATCTGACATGATTTTCCCATTGAAGAGTATTAGGTACTGATAGACATACCGATATGGTGACCTTTGTGTGAGAATGGTGGTACCAGACATTGTTCGGCTTTTCTACATTAAAATACAGGGTTGAGTTTTGCTTGCGTTGAAATCAACCATATTCAACTGAATACTTTTTAAATATTCAAACACCTACTTTGGAAATAATGAAATATCTGAAAGTATTTGGATATTGTCAAGATATCTTGACGTGAACCAGCGTGAACTATTTGTCTATTTACATAAAATTAGTATTCATCATTCGAATAGTTCTTGATCTTTGAAAATAAGTATTCAATATTCAAAACTTCTCATCTTACAATATTTTGAAAAGAGATGAACTAATCTATGTTTTGAGATACCTATTTGATATTTGAACACTTCCAGATTCTGCGCAACCCATATCATGTCATGTGTGTACAATGTTATTTTATATCAATGCTTGCTCTTAGGACAACAGGTATCATTTATTGAATACATATACCAACATTTTGTGAAACAATTGGTAAACAAAAAAAAATCGTGTGAAGAAATGATGAATCTGTAGCTTGAATGCAATATTTTCAATCCACTGTATTTGATAATTGAACACTTCCAGATTGTGCTCAACTCTCATCATGTCATGACATTATCAGCATTTTGTGAAATGATTGGTGAATGGTAAAAATCATGTGAAGAAATTATTAATCTACAGATTGAATGAAATATCTTCCTTCTCCTACTAAACTCAAAAATATTTCGTTGCTCCTCGTATCTTTTCGTGGATGCATACAATGGTAGGTGACAAACTGCATTGTCATGTTTTATGAGGTGAAAAGAATGCACTGGCCTCTGGAATTTTATCTTCGGAATACTCTGCCGTGTTTGCTTTTCTCATATGGTCATAAACCAGAAAATTCTTGCTTTCATCTCATGTTAGCTCGAATTACAAGATTTCTTGAACTACAGTTTTTACCAGTGACGATTACATTGAGTTGTTAAGATCATACATGATACCTATCATTCAGAATAAAAAGAAAAAAGAAGATTGGGTATCCATCTGGAGTTTATTTTCACGAAGAAAAAAAGTTGTTCAAATCAACAAGAGTTTCATTAAAAATAATTTGAGTGTCGTAATATCTACGACCAACATTACCGCAACAGAATATTTTTGTTATTTTTCTACTGAAAAATAGTTATTTATTATACAAGGGGAAAAAGTAGTAGATTTTAGATCGAGGTTGTGTTGTCAGCGGAGGGAGACAAAAAATCGTGGAAGTGGAATGGAAGATCTAAAAGGAGTTCTTTCTTGGAGACGGTGTTATTGGCTTATTTTCCGGAACAAGCATGCACAAACACAAGCCTTCAAAAATGTATATATACAAGGTGATTCATTAAGAATGGGAAATCTCTGAATTACAGATAGTAAACACAAAAATAAAGAGATTTAGCCCAATATGCCTGATGAGAATGGTGATGGTTTAGGTTTTCTGTCACTTATTTTGTAATTGCTCATACAGGGCATTAGTGTCACTCTGTTACTTCGATAATTTACATAGGTCAATTCATTGATGATCAAAATATGTGGAAAATCGCAAAGGTCGTTCAATGTCACATGAAAAATGTACTTTTTATCAAATGGTCTAACTTCAACGGTTTTTGTGTTATTCGCTCTTGAAGAGATTCATGATCCAATTATAACATTTTCATAATTTTATTTATTGAATTAAGAATTGTAAATACCTGAACTACAGATAATAAACACACAAATATAAAGATCTAGCCCAACATGGGTCATAAAAACATTGCTGCGAATAACACACAAACCGTTGAAGCTAGACAGTTTGATAAAGAGTACATTTTTCATGTGAAATTGAACGAGCTTTCAGATTTTCCACTCATTTTGATCATCAATGAATTGACATAGAAGATATATTATGATGTGAATTTTATCGAAGTAACAGAGTGCCACTAGTGCTCTGTATGAGCAATCACAAAATAAGTTGCAAATTCATATTCCTCATGTCAAAAAATCTGGAAATACAAGATTTCATGTTCATGCTGTTAAAACTAACAAAGTTATTGTGAAATTTCGAAATAAAATCTTCCCCTAGAACACCCTGTATCTCCTATACCAGCAACATTCTCATCAGGCATATTGGGCTAAATCTCATTATTTTTGTGTTTACTCTGTAGTTCGGAAATTTCCCATTCTTAATGAATCATTCCGGAAAAAAGTACTCACTCTTGCCCGTGGGAAAAAAGTAATTTTTGTAAAGTGACAGTTTATAACATGTCAACAGAGATGCTATGTCAAAGTATTTCTCGCCACAGAAACAATGTATTTATTGAAACTCATTATTGATTCAAGTCGACGAATTTTTAAGTAATGGCGAAAGTGTGAATGTTCAAATATATAGTTCCAAAATAACAAGATGAATATATTCATTAAATGAAGATTACCTTTCGACCAACAGGAAACAGAACGGTTTTCAG